ACCTGAGGATTCTCTGGGTCTAAGCTTGAGTTGTAGTGATTCAGTAATCCTTTGATCTCCACTTCTAGCACTGCTGAAATATTTTCTGTGATTCTTCCCCATTTCGGGGGAGGTTGAGTTGTGGAATTACAGAGGTGGTGTTGGTAACTTTCAGACTGACAGACTTCTTAAATGCTTGTAAAGCTCTTAAGATTTTCTACCTGAGAACCTCACAGAAATGAAATTAGATGGTAGCATTTTTGGCCAAGTCAGTATCTTAATACCATAATTGAATTTTTGTAAATGTCTTTTAGGTCTCCTATGTGATTAGAGATGAAGTGGAGAAGTATAACCGAAATGGGGTGAATGCACTTCAGCTGGATCCAGCATTAAATAGACTCTTCACAGCCGGCCGAGACTCTATTATAAGGATATGGAGTGTCAATCAGCACAAGGTAAGTCCAGAAAGGATTCCTACATCTACACCTACTTTTTTCCATGTTGTTATGCTAGTAAGCTTCCTACAGGTACACATCTGATACTGGTTTTTAACAGCCAGTTATTATGATAGGAAAGTCATTTTCATATTGCTCAAAATGCAGCAAAATATGTGGGATCCTACAAACCTACTTTTCAGCCTATCCTCCAAAGAACTAGTTGCATCTAAAAGTTAAATGTAGGATGATGTCATTTCCAGTGATAAAGTAGACATAAATACAGTCGCTAAGACTGTGTATATTTGGTTAGTTATGAAGGTACATTTTGATGGATTGCTTACTTTGGTCAATGAGTATTTTGTATATTACAATATTTTAGGAGAAAAGTCATCCTCTTTCCTTTATTGTTATCTTTTCTTTGAAGGAAAAAGGAACCATTGATCAGACTCTATTGGTCTTCTTACTTTCACCATTGTGTTTAAGCTAATAACTAAAGAAAGTTTATTAAAAAACTGTTGTGTTGAGGAGAGACCTCCAGATCATTTTCTGCCACGCTGCTCTCTGTGTGGGTGGCCCCCAGCACATACTGGTGTATGGGTCCCACTGAACAGAAGGCAAGTGTCAGGAGCTTGAGCACGTTACTGGAAACCAGGGCTTCCATGTGAAAGGTACAGGATATAAAATGTCATGAGTTTCATGACTTGGAGAGATCCTGAGAGATCCTTGTGTTGCATTTTGATTGTTCTCCAAGTCCAGTCCCATACATGCAGAAATATCTTTAGCTTTAGTTTTACTGTAATAAAAACCCAAACACTTGAAGATAAAACTGTATATGAAATGAAGCAGTGAGTTTAAAATGTATAGGAATTCCACTGAAAATTAATTTGTGATATCTTACATGGCTGCATAGTTGTTTCACAAAAAAAGGCTGGAATAGTAACTTCAAGCAACTCTGTATTAGGCAACTTTTGATCCATTTGAAGGTTGAAGAAAATGTCACAACAGGACCTGATAGTCACAATCTCTTCCATTTGTGATGAGATCTTATAATTATTTTTTTTTAATTTGCAGCAAGACCCTTATATAGCATCTATGGAGCATCACACAGATTGGGTAAATGATATTGTGCTCTGCTGCAATGGTAAAACATGTAAGTACTTAAATGTTGAAAACTACAGTGTTCAGAAATGGAGTATAAAAGTATATTATCTACCACTTAAATTATTTTCCATCTTTTCTTAACATGTAAAGTTCATTTCTGCGATGCGTATTGCGAATTTGGTAAATAAAGTAAGCAGGTGTTTCAATGAGAATTTAAATGCGTGTGTATATATATGTGATTAAATTCATCTTTTTAGAAAAGAAAATTAAAGAGTAGTACAAATATGATTTAAAATAATACACAGGCCATTAAAGTTTACTCTCTATTCTTTCCAATTTAGTGATATCTGCTTCTTCAGATACTACTGTTAAAGTGTGGAATGCGCATAAGGGATTTTGCATGTCTACACTAAGGACGCATAAGGTGAAAAACGTTACCTGTAAATACTGTATGTTATCATTGGCAGTCTTTTAAATATTAACATGTGGACTTCAATGGGATATTACTGTTGACTCCTGCTGTTGTATTTACTTTATTGTAGGACTATGTGAAAGCCTTAGCATATGCAAAAGATAAAGAACTGGTAGCATCTGCCGGGCTGGACAGACAGATATTCCTCTGGGATGTAAATACTCTAACAGCACTGACTGCCTCAAATAACACCGTAACAAGTAGGTACCTAGGGAGTGGGAGGCAAATACAATGCATTTTGAGTAGCTTAATCTGTGAGATCAATTTAAAATTATAGATACTCATTTCTGTGTTTACATAAAAAAGCGCAAGAATTTTTTAAGTGGTTTTAGTGTATACTCTGTCCATTTGATGTGTTCTGTAATAGCTGAAAATTTAGAGCAGCCAACGGTCATGGCATTTAGAATAGAGGACAGGTCTCTGAGCATTTTCTCCTAAAATATAACGTGCTGGTGTTCTCTGAAACTTTGTAGAGCTTTAGCTTTAGCAACTTTTTGCTCCTTAACTAACCCATTATAGAAATCTTCCCTTAGGTTATGTGTCAGTGTGTTTTCTGTGTGTTATATTTGGGTTGTTTTTTTGATTTGGGTTTTTGTTCATTTATATAGGTGCCACAAAAAATGCAGTACGACTCCTAAAGCAGAACTCGATACACTTATCAAATCTGTATGTCAAAAGAATAAAGTTACTAGATAGATTTAGATTAAAAAACATGCTAAGTAATACTGATTGCTTGTTACACGTAAGGATAGCATACTAGTAAGATCTAACTCACTAGTTAGATGTTAGAACACAAGGAGAAACTGTCAGTAGCAGGGTTAATCCTTAATGTCACCATCATCTTTTAAGAAGTGGTCTGCCCTGCTTCTCTGTCCTAAAAAAGACATTACAATAAACTCTGAGATCTTTCCCCATAGAGCAGTTCCAGCTTTTCTTAAATAGTCAAGATACAGCCGGTTAAGTTTCTCTTCTGGGAAGTATGACACCAGTCATCAAGTTCAGTTCAATTCAGTTTAATTTAATTATTACATTTTCAATTTAATTGCCCAAGTAATATAGATCTTGGTTTGTATTGGCTATTTTACAATATATTTTTTCAGAAAGAAGTCTAGTTTGACCACAGTGGGTTTTGCTGCCTATAGGTCAGGTGGAAAAATAGTGCTCAAAGTGACTGATCTCTTTCATGTTATAGTTAGTGTTTGATATGTATTTAAACAGCATCAGAGTCTCAGATGTATGCACTGGGAAAGAACATACCACACTGTCTTGCTTCACTGCCACACTTGAATTTTCCAAATAAGCCTACTTGCTTCTCCATTCGTAGGTTAGGAGTGACTCAAGAAAAATCTGCAAAACTAAAATTTGGAATCAGCACGTCAGACTTTTAAGAAATTCCAGGAATATGCGATGCTGTGTATAAAAGGCAGGCATACAGTTGTTTTGGTGTGGTTTTTTTTAATTACTATTCTGGCCAATTCTGGAAGGTAGGTTAATTCTATGGGTTTGGTAGCTTCTAAAACCAAAGCCATCTAGAACCAGCCATCTGGTGGCCAGAACTGTCAGTTTTGCATTTGTTCTGTCTACAGTACTTTTTAATTCAGTTACAGCCTTGTGCAGCCTTCAGAAGAGAGCTGGCTTCTAGTGAGCTGTGTTGGACTGCAGGATAGTATTTGATGGCACGTGACTGCACATAACTAAGTAGATTTACCTTCTGTTTCTTTCACTGAAAGTAGAATTATTTACTCACCAAACTTGGCTGACAGGCTGATAACTGTAAGTTATGCTCTTTTCTGGTTGAAGAGGGAGTTTTTGAAAGAAGAATTTATTTGCTGACTCACAGGAAAACTCAGTTGAGGGGAAAAAAACCAACAGATTTCTTGAATACCACAACAGTGATACAGAACACAAATTATTCAAGTGAATCATAAATGAGAGACGGGGAGTACTGAGGAGCTGATGGTTGTTTTGAGCCCTAGATCAAATGGAAGTGTAGACGTCACTTACAAGATGACAGAAATGAATTTATATTTCTGGAGTTGGAACAGTAATGCTTCATAAGGGAGAGGAAGGGGAAGTGGGGGAGTTGTTTTTCTTTCTTTCAGCTGTTCCCAACTAACAGTGTTTCTGTTGGGAGCAACACAGTCTGTGTCCCTAAGGAAGTTGGTTTTCCTCAGTCCTTTCAAACGATATTGATTTTTCCAGAGTGCAGATGAAGATTGTTCTTGTGCTTTTTCCTATCTGATTACAGGGAAGCAGTGTGCACGAGTCAGCATTAAAAGGAAGCATATTTTTGAAGTCTTGCAGACAGCATAGCCATAATTTAAATGAAGTGGAGAGATTTTGCTTCTGAGAGTCCCTTCCAGAAGAGCATGAAGTTGAGCTTTGTTTTTGTTTTGGCACAAACTTTGCTTCTGTGCACTTAGAATTCCCTCTTCCATTTCTGATGTCCAGCTTGTGATAACACTGTGCATTATCCTCATAAATTATTGCGGTTGTTGAACAGTGTGCTAACCTTGAAGAGTTTTCAGTTCTACTTTTTGCCCTCGACTATTCTCTGAGGACAGTGGGAGAGTATGGCTTTCTTTTGGCTACAAATAATAGACTTCAGTTGAAAGTTTACATTTGGATAGCCACAGCTAGTGGTTAAGAGGACCCTGAAGTAAAGCTGATAATTCTTCTGCCGTGACAAAACGTTTATGATATTGGATCACAAATACTGTGCTAGAAACTTATTTCCATAATATACATAAATCACAATAAAGTTTCACATTTTTGCTGGCCACACAGTTTGTTGCTCTTTGTTGGGCATATGCTGATGGTGTGGTTTTGAGGTTTGATGAAATGCTTAATGCTTAATCTGCTCTCTGAGTAGATGATTTTCATATGTTGTGTCTGTGCTTTTCCCAGTTAAGGGACTGGTACTTTAATCTGTCCAAAAGCAGATTAGGCTAGATAGTACAGAATTCTTCAACTCTGGTGGTAGCTGTGATGCTAAGGAGTTGCCATATGGTTTTCCCAAAAACAGAGGCAGCATATGTGCTCAAGTAACATTTCAGCACTGCAGTGTAACTTCAGTATTGCATCTCCGCTGAACTAAGAGAAGAGCCTTTAATATATAATGTAAAATTTTACTGCTACTTGGCATGAAAAACAAATCTCTGCTTTTATAACCAAGTGCTCTGTATTATAAAATCACATAGAAGTATCATTTTCTAATAAAGGAGTTGAGAAGAGTAGGAGTACCTTGATGGTTCTGGCGATGAGTTGTGGTGCCAAAAGGACACCAGGGTTGTAATCTTAAAGCAAATCACAGAATCACAGAACGTTAGG